ATCAGTACACAAAACAAATAAAAAATAAATGAAAAATGAATATACAGAAGAAATAAAAAACAAATAAAAATGAATACACAATACAAAAAAAATTAGATGAAAAAATAAAGACACAAAATAAACAAAAAAATGCATGACAATGACAAAACATATAAACTAACAAATAAAAGTAAAAAAGGAGAAACAAACAATCAAAAAATAAAAGAAAAACAAACTAATAAGACAAATAGACAAAGAAATAAGAAGAAAAATAGACAAACAAAAAAAGATAAACAGACAAACCAAACAGACAAACAAGTAAACAAACAAAGAAACCAGCCCAAACACACGCCAACCCTTTAACCGCGAAATGCATTCACGACTCTGAATTAAAAGAAAAAAAAAAAAACATCCACCGCCAACGTACTTTTGCAAACTTTATAACAGTCATAGCTCGCTCTATCATGACATACGAACACTTAAAATGTTCTTTGGGTTCCGCTGCGGTTGCAAAGAGGTTTATGGAAGAACAGGCATGTAACTAATGCACTCAGACAGGGGAGGCCATAACCGTATTTTATGCCGGGTCTTCCTGCTTTTGTCGGCCGGTTGTCGCGCCGATCAAAGCCACACCTCCCGCTTATGGTGGGGGGAGGGAGGGGGTTGGATGGGGGGTGGAGTGGGGGGGGGTGGGGTGGGGTGGGTAGGGGGTGCAGGGTGGGATGGGGCTAGGGGCAGGGTTAGGGGTAGGGGTAGGTTTGGGGGTAGGATGGGGCTAGGGGTAAGGGGTGGAGTTGGGTTAGGGTTGGGGATGGGATGGGGGGGGGGAGGGGACGGGGATATATCTTGTCTTTGGGGGTCTGGGGGGTGGGGTGGGTGGGGGGGGGAAGGGGGTGGGTTGTGGGTCTTTTTGTCTATTTTTTTTCTCCTCCATATCTCACTCTCGCTCCGTATGTATCTTTCTCTTCCTTCTATTTCCTCCTATCTCTCTCTTTCTCTCTATGTCCCTCTTCATCTCTTTCTCTCTTCTCTTCTCTATCTATCTATCTATACATAATATATATATATATATATAATATATATATATATATATATTATATATATATATATATATATATATACGTCTGTCTCTGTCTCTCTGTCTTTCTCTCTCTCTCTCTCTCTCTCTCTCTCTCTCTCTCTCTCTCTCTCTCTCTCTCTCTCTCTCTCTCTCTCTCTCTCTCTCTCTCTCTCTCTCTCTCTCTTCTCCTCTCTCCTCTCTCTCTCTCTCTCTCCCCCTCGCTCTCTCTCCCTCTCTCTCTCTCTCCATCCCTCCCTCCCCCCTCGCTGTCTCTCTCTCTCCCACCATATCCCCAATATATCCAGTTCCTGTCCTGTAACTGCCACACATTTCCCGTGTTTCCTGAGTCTCTGGGGATCCAAAGCCAAGCCACTATCATGGTTTTTATCCTATTCCCGTTAGTGGTTATACGAATAGCGTGTTTTCTTTGTGTTTTATCTTCTTTCCTTCTTCTGCTTCTGCTTCTAATATTTCTTCTTCTCCTGCTCCTCCTTCTCGTTCCTACCTTTTTTTTCTCTTTTCTCTTTATTATCATCCTATCTCTTTGTTTTCCTTTTTCTTCTTCTTTCTTTTTCTCTTTCATTATTTCCATATTCTTTCTTTTTCGAAATGTTCTTCTTAATCCTTTCTCCTTTCTTTTCGTCTTCCATTTTTTCTTTATCTTCTTTTTCTTCTTTTTCCTCCACTTTTTATATATTTCACATTTCTTGAATGAACTGAATCCTGCAACTCAATACAAGACTGGATCAAATGATAGAACTTGAAATACAGAGAAAGATAAATGTATGGATACACAAATAGATACGTAAGGAAATCCATAGGTATGAACGTATGTACGTATGCACAAATTTATAAAATGACAAATAGCTACAAGGATAGCTTGACAAAACAACCTTATTGAGATATAGAAAGATGGGCATAAAGACTCCAACAATGCAGATAGATAGATAGATATAAATAAAGAGAGACGGAGGAGGAAGCTGATAGATAGAAAGAAATGTTGAATAAAGATAAAGACAAATAAACAGACTGAGTGAGGCTATTTTTGGTCCTGTCTTCTAGTGTATCCTGTAAATCTGGTGGCATAATAGCTGTAATAGAACGAGAGAAAATTTTATGATGTATGTAATAGCCTCTCGCTTTAACGCCTCCTAATATCAAACTTGCCTAATATAATTGGGGTTTATTTTGAAATTTACTCTTTCGTAAGTATTTCATTCATCCTCAAAAGTGAAATATAAGAACATGTATTTAATATGAGTTCAAATATTCGCGTTTTATCCGCAGCTGTGTTGGTATTTTAAAAAGAGCAGTATATTGATGTATACGAATACCAATTGCTATATTTTGACATGAAAACTTCCCATTAAGAATACAACTCAATTAGATATAACCAGCCACCGATAATTGTTCATTTTGATAAACATTTTGAAATTTAGTTCAGCTAATGCCACCTTTAAGACTTCCAATGTATTTCACTCTGTGTTGCCTCCTCCTCAATATTCATGCAAGCACTTCAAATTACCGAGCAACAATCCCTGCTGACCATTGGGAACTAATTTGAATAACGCCCCCTGGTAAGCCCCGTGGTAATGACACAAGAAACATAAACGAGACGCACCGCAAAGCCGAGGAAAACCCGAAATAAAATCGAATGTTGGTCCTTCTCTGGTCGGTCGTCGTGCTGGGAGCGTGTGATCAAAGGCTCTTCCCGACGAGTGAAGCTTCAAGGAAACAAATAAACAAAAACAAACGAACAACAAAACGTGAATGGAGGAAAGGAGAAAAGTGCATAGCTTTCAAGAAGGAAATACAAGTGGCAATGCGATAATCGTTTCTTGCAGACAAAGCACCATAACCCGACAGCGAGCGAGTGAGTGGAACGCCAAAGACAAATACGTTACTCCGACATGGATTCCACTTAAGTAGCCATTTTAGAGGGAGGGTACAAGCTGGTTAAGGTACGCCGGAAGTAGTTTATGGAAGGAGGAGCCCGGCTGAGTTATTTAGTATGCACAGGTCATAAATCGGATAATGTCCTCCTTGAGAGACGGAATAAGGAGCCACGATCCGTCAGGAAAACGTCTTCCATTGAGCCATTGAGACCGTAATACCCGAGGAAAACATAGCTATTAGGGATTCGCAATAAAGGCAATGACAAATTGACCAATTTCAGATTGCCAACGAAAAGTCTTCGCAAAACATTCATCTTACAGACTTCAATCAAGCACAGTATAAAGGCGGGTGGAAAGAGAACACATAATGCGAGCATAACAAGGCAAGCGTTTGCAGCGGCCATAAAAGCAAAAGGCAGTTAAAAGCTAGAAAGTAAAGCGCTTAAGAAAAGCCATCACCGGACCTAACAAGCTTGGTGTGGTAGTGGTTGGTGAGGCGAGAGCAGAAACATAGGTGGCCACCAACAAGCCCTCGCATCCGGCCATCTGCACAGGACTTGCGGTTAGCGTTAAATGCCACACTTAAAAGTAATAGCATGCCTGTTAACGATGAGAGGCCACGCTATGTTGCTATGAACACGCTACAGCTTGCAGGACGGTAGCTGCACACGCCGGCCCAAGGAATGTTGCTGACTGATAGGCCTATGGGATATAGGTGGGTAACGAAGGGCGTGGTGTACGATGCTGGTGGTGCTTGTGGTGGCGAAGGAATACCCTAGGAGTAATTTCTTCCGTGTGCTTTTGAAAACGAGAACCATCGAGAGGAAAAGAGGAACCCTTTTGTGCTTCTGAACTCGAAATCAGGAAAATTTCACGATTAGTTCCCCAATCGACGTAATCGCAGACTCACACACATCCTATTACTTTCCAGAGTGGGTGTCAGCCAGTGTTTTCTCGAGCTTTTCGACCCAAACCATAAAATTATGTTACTTCGATGATCTTTCGAATCTCTTCTCAATATGGGCGCCCTTACACCTCGTTCAAAGGCGTGTCACAGGGTTCTTTACCTTTTCTTATTAACCTTGACATCGCCCTTTGCAAATGAGTGGTTTCTAGGGTGAGCTAGAAGAGGAAAAGTAACGATGAAAAAGAGAGAGGAGAAAAGAAGAGGAGAGAAGAGAAGAAAAAGAGAGAGAAGAGAAAGAGAGAAAGGAAGAGAAGGAGAGAAAGAAGAAAAGAGAGAGAAGAGAAGAGAAGAGGAGGAGAGAAGAGAAAAGAGGAGGAGAGAAGAGTAGGTAAGACAGAGAAGAGAAAAAGAAGAGAGAGAGAAGAGAACAGAAGAAGCAGGAGAGAGAGAGAGAAGGAGAGAAAAGAAGAGAAAGAAGAGAAAAGAAAGAGAGGAGCAAGAGACGAAAGGGAAAGAGAGAAAGAGAAAGAAAGAGAGAATATAATAGGAGGAAAGAGAAGAAAAGAGGAGAGGAGAGAAGAGAAAAGAATAGGATGAAAGAGAAGAAAAAGAGAGAGAAGAGAAAATGAAAGAGATAGAATGAAAGAGAGAGAAAGAGAAGAAAGAGAAGAGAAGAAAGAGAGAGAAGAGAAAATGATAGAATGGAGAGAGAAAAGAGAGAAGAGAAAAGAGAAGACAAAGCGAGAGCTCCAACGGCACTTTGACAACATGATTCGCACTTCATTTCGCAGAAGTGAATCATCACGGGAGACGATGAAGACATAAAAGAGCAGGCGATACCCAGCCCCGCCGCACGCCCCTCGCCCTCGCCGCTCCTGTACCCTCACGCCCTGTGCCCACATGATGACGCCTCGTACCCTCATAGTACTCTCACGCCCTGTGCCCACATGACATGATGATGTGACACCCCTCACTGCCCACATGATGATCCTACCCGCCACGACGCCCTCGCCCTCGCTGCTCCTCACCCTCACGCCCTGTACCCACATGATGTACCCTCACCCCCTTACCCTCATACCCGTGTACTCACGCCCTGTACCCACATGATGTACCCTCACGCCCCTTACCCTCATACCCGTACTCTCACGCCCTCTGCCACATGATGTACCCTCACGCCCTTACCTCATACCCGTGTACTCTCACGCCCTGTGCTCACATGATGTACCCTCACGCCTCTGTACCCTCATATCCGTGTACTCTCACGCCCTGTGGCCACATGATGTACCCTCACGTCCCTTACCCTCATACCCGTGTACTCTCACGCCCTGTACCCACATGATGTACCCTCACACCCTGTGCCCACATGATGTACCCTCCGCCCTTACCCTCACGCCCTGTACCCATTTGATGTACCCTCGCTGCTCCTGTACCCTCACACCCTGTGCCCACATGATGTACCCTCACGCCCCTTACCCTCATACCCGTGTACTCTCACGCCCTGTGCCCACATGATGTACCCTCAGCCCCTTACCTTACGCCCTGTACCCACTTGATGTACCCTCACGCCCTGTGCCCACATGATTACCCTCACGCCCCTTACCCCACGCCCTGTACCCACTTGATGTACCCTCACCCCTGTGCCCACATGATGTACCCTCACCCCTACCCTCACGCCCTGTACCCACTTGATGTACCCTCACGCCCTGTGCCCACATGA